TAGTCGACGACTCCCGTTTTGGTCGGGAGGTCGTCAAACGGGAGTCTTCTTCCAATTCCCGGGAGTCGTCGGCCTAATTCCACAGGCAATTTTTTATTTTTTTTATAATTGAAAATTTGGGAGTCGTCCGCCTAAAAGGCGGGAGTTGGCGCCCCAAATTTGATCCTTAATTTTCTTGATTCTTTTTTTTTTTCCTTCAATGACAACCCCCCTATTTTTATTGCTTTTCTACATGAATTTTCTCATTTTGTCCCCTTGCAGTTACATAACCCAAGACTGTTTGCTGCCCCTCAGCTCATGAAGGAGTGGAAAGAAAAGGCGTCAGAAGAGGCTTGGGGATGGGAAGCCCAATTTTCTGATTCTTTCGAATTGACTGTAGAGAGGAAAATAGAAAATCCAATGAAACACCACTAGGGTTTTTTTTATCCTGTGTCTTTTTTAGTTTTTGATTTTTTTCCTCTATGTCCTTTTTTACCCTTTTTTTTTCTTACTTTTCTGATCATTTTTGAATATTTTTGGCCCGTTTGTCATCTCTTTTATCTCTTGCAATGGTTTTTCTCAATCAATCTAATTTTTTTATCATTGATAAATTGCCTTTGGGGTGGGGCCTCAGTGGCTTAACCTTTTTTTGGAGTCTCTGAGGGTGCCATATGGTGATGACTCCCATTTCTAGTTGGACGACTCCCGTCTTTTTTTAATATAGAAAAAAAAAGGCAAAACATTTGGCGGAATTGGTGCGACAACTCCCTTGTATTAGGTGGACGACTCCCGTCAATTCAAATATAAAAAAGGGTGAAATATTAGGCGGAATTGGTGCACCGACTCCCGCACTTTAGGCGGACAACTCCCTATTTTTTTAATAAAAAAATAAAAATTCTCCAGGTAAAATTAGTGCGACGACTCCCTATGTTTTTTTGGGAATCGGAAGAACGACTCCCGTTCGACGACCTCCCGACCGAAACGGGAGTCGTCGACTAAAATTTGGGAGTCGTTTTTCCAAGCCCCAAAAATTAAGAGAAATTCATTAAAATATGCACTCTTTGAAAAAGATGTGGGGAAGTGCAATAATAGTATTACATACATACAAAGTGACTCCCAAAAAAAAGAAGAAAAAAAAAACAATTGTTGCAATCCACTTAGAGTTTCTTACACTATAAGCTTAGACTGCATTCCCTCAAAAGAGAATAACAGAAGATGATTCTCCAATGATTACAAAACCTAACAGCGCAAAACTCTATTTGTAGGCAAAAAAAAAGATGCTCATATCCCACGGATTTCCACCTGATCTTGTAACATTCTTTTATTCTTTCCTGGACACCTGTGGCTTGTGATGGCTTGATCTGTTTGTAGATCCAGATATTATCTCTGCCCGTCTTGTAATCCTATGTAAATAGGTGGATCCTGAAATGTGATGAGCAGTAGAAGTATAGACTTTGAGTCACAATAGATACAACTGCCTTTGGTGGCTTGTGGACGCCTTGACTCGTCGAGGCGGGGTGCGGCGCGCGTATGCAAGTTCAAGTTGAGCTCTTTTTTGGTGGTCACTTGCTGGGCTTGGCCCCCCCCAATCGGATGCCCCACCAGCATTCATCCAACTTTAACGGCAAAACAACGTAAAAAGAGGTGAGCCTGACAGTCATTGAATTTTTTTTCCCTATCGTCTTTACTGCAAGCTAGTGCTCAAGGCCTATCCTCATGTGTATTAAATTTTGTATGTTGATTGCTTGCTGGGGAACTGATCCAGAACAACAGAAATTGAATCCCTAGAAAAACGTGTGTGATTCAGAAGCTTGAACGATGGGCCGTCTCCGAAGAAGTCGAACGCACAGTTCAGCCAAATCGCAAATCAAGAGTCGGAAAACCAAGCGATACACCCGAGATCTAGACCAAATAGCGATCGACATGGAGCTTGCCCAATCGATCCGATCCGTCAAACAAGCCCAATCAGACAGCCAATCCAACTTCGTCGTCCCTCAAGCCTTCGGATCAACCTCGCATCCTACAGTCACTGGCGAAGTCGATGAAGATACGACCGGTTGTGGGCAATTCCCTTGTGTTCAATGTGCTCGATTTTTCGTCGATTCCAGAAGCTTGACTGAACATCAAAGAGGAAAGGTTCACAAGCGCAGGTCAGTTTTCTTCCTCCTATCTAAAAAATTACTCGCAAGAAAGATCTCGAAAAACCCAATCGCTTCAAACCCTGGGGCTTGCCTTGGTACGATTCATGCTGGAAACTGATGCATATTACGGTTACTGATTTTGATTCCGTAGGGTTAAAGAGCTTGCTGCCGGTCCGTACAGCCTGGAAGAAGCCATGCGAGCTGCTGGAATCGGCACGGATAACCGACAGCGTCCAGCCCCAGATTTGATGGTCTCTTGAAGGACGACAAAACTCAGCTTACATTCATCCCTCTGAACACCATTCTTTTACCACCTCACAATTTGTTGCGGATCTCTCTCAAGTTATCTTTGAATTTTCCTTTTTTTTTCTCTCGACGTAATTCTAACTCGAAAAAAGGGACCGTGCCCGAATCTACCACGTTTTATGGCAATCCATATCAAAAAATAAAAGAAAATGGATTCCACTTCTGGGAGACAGCGAATCTCGTTGGGAAAGAGAGCAGGTTTTTCCCTCGTAAAATATTCACGACGTTTTTCGACAAGAGAAGATTGATCCACGAGAGAAAACAAAATTTGCCGCTGACAAGCAGATAACTCCTTCAAACCTGATTGTGTCTACTGTGCCTTCATCAGCAATTGATACATCCAAGTTTCCTGGGCCCTCTAAGAGTTGAACGATCCTATCTTGTAGTTTACCACTCCTTAAGTTTTTGCAGTCAAACCATTGTAATAGCATTACACCTCCACAGCATGACTACCTTACCATTATTACATTTTTGGCAGATTGATCTCGTCTGGAATACACTCATACATAAACACCTGAGACAGTCAGTCATCCTTCATCCACTGCACACACAAGAAATTACCTCACATCTTTTCCATGTATCCTTTGTCTCTGGCCCATCTATACTGGAAGAGCTTACTGGGCCTGATCAGGGAGATGACTGAGAATGTATCAAGATTATAAGCTACTCACTGATCAACAGTGAATCCATAGCCTATGGTGGTGGCCAGCCCCCCCCCTCTGCATTTTTGTATCTCCCGATCGGTGATTTTGTTCAGCTCTTGCTCGTTCCCTGCCGATCCTCCAACATAGTAATACTAATAGGGTATGTGGTACGTGTATCCAAGGGTACGACGGCCCCTTCCGTTTTAGTGAAGACACGTGGTGAAATACCCGAGCAACGAGCGCCATAATCGCAGTTTTTTTTTAATTTAGTTTTAATTCTGACTGGATTTAATTTAGTTTGTGGTGCTGATGTAATCCACTGATCATCCTCTTGTTGACCAGTCTCAAACTGAAAGACCAATCATTTCACGCCAACCGCCTCAACCTACCACCACCACCACCATCTCAACCAACCACAACAGTCAGCAGTCAACAACAACACCACTAAGCAAGATGGCTCCATCAGTACCAGACAAAGTAAGATGATGAAACCCACGTTGGATGTCCTGGCCTCTGTCTTCCCATTGTTGAGTTACTGATAGATGCATTCAATCTGAACTAGGATGTCCTCGTCGGACGTGTCGGAAACCTTACGCCCGAACAAGCTGAAATGCTCAAGAAGTTTAAAGCCGAACTTGCGATTGAAGGGTTCTTCAAAGTGCGTCTGCCCTTCAACTTGGTGCAGTCATGTTAGCATCATAGCTGACCTCCATCCGAATCTCTCCTACCTGTGCTGCAAATTTCCAGGAAGGAACCGGGCCCGAGAAAGCCGACATGTACGGAGGTGGTCTGACCGGCGCATCCCATGATGATGCCACCTTACTGTTAGCTCCACTCCCCTTTGTTCTGAAGTGGTGTGAGTATTGTTGATCTGTTTTGCTTCTTGGCTTGGAATCACCACATCTTTTTTCAGTCGATTTCTCAGGGCGCGCAAATTCGATCTTGCCAAGAGCAAGCTGATGTTCATAGATTGCGAAAAGGTTTGGATTTCATTCATCTCTTAATCATAAGCAGGCACTGATTAGCTGAAGAGACACTGATGGGCTCGAATAATGCACGTTGTGATCATAGTGGCGTAAGGAGTTTAAGGTTGACGAGCTCTACAACACCTTTGAGTATCCTGAGAAGAAGGACGTCGACGCCATCTACCCTCAATTCTACCACAAGACTGATCAGGTTGGAGATAGCGATTCTTACCATATGTCCCTCATACCCTTTGAAGCTTCAAACTGATCCCTGATTTATATTCAACATTGATTTCTATCAGGATGGCCGTCCGCTTTATATCGAGCAACTCGGAAAGCTTGATCTTACTAAGCTGTACAAAGTTACCACACCGGAACGCCAACTTCAGCGACTAGTTGTAGAATATGAAAGAGTGAGCGGAATGCCAAAAGCTTCCTTTCCTTCGTTATGGTGCTCTTGTCTCATTCTCCTTGGTAACTGATTTCTCTGCTTATAGTTTTTGCGTGATAGGCTTCCTGTTTGTTCAATGGAGCACCAGAAATTAATCGAAACCTCATGCACGATCATGGACCTTCAAGGGGTCGGTTTGAGTCAGTTTTGGAAAGTCAAGAATTACGTTCAGCAAGCCTCCCATCTCAGTCAGAACTATTATCCGGAGAGTTAGTAATAATTTCTCTACAAAGCAGCACGAAATCCTTCGGGTTTTGAATCAGGCTAATAACATCCCCCTGGATTTTTCTGTTATTCAGCCATGGGAAAGTTCTACATCATCAACTCCCCTTACTTGTTCTCTACGGTTTGGAACTGGGTTAAGCCATGGTTAGATGAGGTGACGGTGAAGAAGATCCAGATCCTCGATTCGAGCTATCAGAAGACCTTATTACTCCAAATCCCGGCTGAGTCCTTACCGAAGACTCTCAAGGGCAAGTGTGAGTGTACAGGCGGATGCAGCATGAGTGATGCCGGGCCATGGAAAGATAGCGAAGTTGTTGCGAAGGCCAAGTCGTTGAAAGCTGGCCCTACTGCCGCCGCCCCCGCCATAGAGGAAGCCACCCCCGCCGCCGTCGCTGCTACCCCTGCTGAACAACCCGCTGTTCCGGCTGCAGAGACCGCCCCTGCGCCTGCGGCCACCGCTGAAGCCCCCGCGTCTTGATCCCGTCATCGTGATCTAGGCTCTCAAAGCTTTACGGAACATGGTCTCCTCCTGGTGAAATCTAGTTCGCATAGCTTTTCTTTGTGTCTCTTTGTTCTATCTTTCGTCTCTTTCTCAATCCATCCATCCTATTTCTCCTGCCTTTCACCTTTCTCCGATTTTTTGGAATGTTTTCCTACCCCATTTTTTTTCATGATCATCATCACGTACACTACATCTACTGGGCTGTATTGTGACCGAAGAAATTTCTTTCTTTTTGATCCTTTAGTTACTGCTTAATCTTGTTTTTCTGCTTCCTGTTCTCCTGATATTGGCTGTCTGATCTGTAAATTCCATCAAGTGTAAACATTTTTTGGCTTCTTCTGATGGTACATAACAGTACTTGGTAATATATAGCCCATGTGAGACAGTAATTAGGTAGACAAGCAGAGAGAGAAGTGGGCCTAGAGTTAGCTTGTTGCTTTGGACTTAACTCTTGCTCAACTTACCAAGCTTAACTCCGGAAAGTCGACTCGCCAGGGAATCCTTGGAAGATAGCCTGATGAGTCTCACGATTGGATGATGGATGAGACTCCAGATACTCAAACATCATGCATGTAGAGCGACTAGCTCATCTCTTCCGATCGATTGCATGAAGACCCTTTGAAAGGAAGAGGTGAGCACCCATGCCTGTTTCCTTATGACCATGGACTTGCTAATCTGGCCCTCCACAATCTGTCAGGCATCAAGGCAGCCAGACCAAGCGCAACCGCACCAACGGAGTCTAAGAGGAGTTAATGGGCTCGATCATCCAAATTGTAAAGCCTCGCGAGATTTGAGCAGTTGAAAATTAATGTTGGTTCGTAATCGTGACAAACTGACAAACCTCTGTCGATTGATTTCAATGCTCACATGCCCCCCCCCCTTCTTCCCCCCACAAAAGAGAACTTTCAAGCAAGCGAAAAATTACCCATTTTCATTCATAACCACTTGAAGACTTTTTCTTCCTTCATTGGGCTTACAAATCAACAGACAGTGATGAAGATCCGAGCCGGGCTATTAAGTTGCTCGTTGTGTGTCTGGCTGGTCTCAAATCCTATCAAAGCAGATCGCACAGAACCAGAGCAGTTAATCCTTTCATCCTCAAGCACACCAAGCCTGGTGAAGACGGACAATTCAAACCTGATCTTTGCGTCCTTTGCGGGACTACTTCAGCAATGGCCCAACACGTTTGCCTTCAGCGGGCACTCCATCATCACCGGGTTGGTCCCGCGCTCAACGGTACTCTACCACAGCACTCGAGATCCGACAGGGCCGCCAAAGCAAGGGTTCGAGTGGCTGGCCTTCGATGCCGAGATGAGCTTTGCAATTGGCAGCTACAAGCCCTGGGAGTTCCGGCTGTACACATTCGTCGCCGACCGGGCCCTCCGGGTGATCTATCTCGATGGTCAGAGCGCTTCCCTCGGCACGCCCGGCTTTATGGACTCTCAGTACGCCCTCATCAACGGCTCCGTTCCCGAGGACTTCCCCGACATGGGTAATTACTACGAAGCCGAATACATCCGTGCTGCTGAGCTCTGCAAGCTCGCCGACAAATATGGCTTCGAGGGCGTGGTCAGGATGAACACCGGCTTTGAACTGTTATGGTGTGACTTTAAAAAGGGCATCCAGTTAAGTTCCTCTTAGTTTCGAGAAAATCACCCGCAGCATCATTTCGGCCTGATTATTTTGTCACTTTCATCTTTGCCCCACCTCTGTAGCCTTCTTGATGGAATTAATGTTACTGACCCCTATCAAGATAAGGTCTCGCCGCCTAAACTGAACGACCAAGCGATTAATAGATTTGATATTCAAAAGAAGCCACCACCCCAATCACCATTTCGTTCCAGGGCTTCCTGGCGCTTTTGCCGTTCCGCCGCCCAGCACTTTTTCGCGCCTGGGGAGGTACGAGTCGTCTTAGATCCCTCGGGATTTATAAGTTTCTATGATGGTCTTGAGAGTTTGGAGGTGAAGCGACGAATGGATGGGACAAGTACTGGGCCGCGTTCTCGACACCGCTTGTATGGACTGAGTAGCGAGGATGCAAGGACAGTCCAAAAGCGGCTGGCCGAGGTGCTCGAGCGGAAGAACTCTGAAGATTGGCGGGTGGATCCTGAGCAGCCAGACTGGCGCGCCATGGTCCTGACGGTCATCCAGAGGCTCAGCCCGGTGCTCGGCGAGCTGCAATATGTTCTCCACAGGGACGACCTGAATGCGACCGAACAGGCCATCGAAGTGCGCGGATTGGCCTACGACATCATCATGCCTTCGCTGGACTTTTCGGACTGGCCGGACCGGCAAGAACCGCAATGGCTGTCCCGCGGGGTTCGTAGATGCGTCGACGCAATATACACCTCCGCCGGACAGCTTCCCTCCGAGCTCAGCCACTCGATCGAGCTCATCATTGGGGCTATCGAAGGCACCTTACACCGAGTCTGCGAAACGGTCTACTCTCTCTTCTCGCAGACCATCCAGCTGTCGCTCCCAGTGAGGCCCAAATTCTCCTTCAACTCCACCCTCGAGTCTCTCGCCCGATCCAAACTCCCGGAATGGCGTGAGCAGCTCGGAGGCCTCCAGAAATGGCTCGGGTGGTCCACCTGGACCCACTGTGACCCTCTCTGTAAACCCAACGTGGGCACCCTTTCCCTGACTCTCATTTCTCACCTTGTCATCACTGACTCTTTTGAATTGTAATTGTATCCCTCGGGCTGCGATCTCGTGTCGACAGGAGATCTGCATGCCACCGTTATGGCCCTACCTCTTTGGAAAAGTGCTCACTAATATCACTGATCAGTTCCCATTCTGTTCTAATGCCTCATCTGCTTTTGGATAGCTTCATTTTTCCATTAAAATGTTGATAGAGATTCTTTTTTTTTACTTGATTTACTCTTGCATAACTACTGTTCTTCTACTTGAAATGACTACTTGCGTCGGTAATACACATTTTTTTTAATTTGAAATATCAGTTTTTTTCTATTTTGTTTTTCATGTTTTCACTTGTGAATTTCTTCCATGGCTTGTCGTCTCCTGAATTCATGATCACATCAACAAGAGTTTTGGATTTTGACTGTCTCCATATATTTCATTTCCAGAAAACTTGTATGACTAGAACTTGAAAATCATATCTCAACAACCAATATACATGCGATTCTCAAAGAGAAGGATTTTTGAAGGGGGGTTTGGCCATGATGTATCGATCTTGAGGGAACCTCACAAGCTCCTCATAAACTGATATGTATTCTTGTGAACACTGAGACATACAGGGCAATTGAGGTCTGTGATCCCAGCACAAAAAAAAAACATTCAGTGATGACAGAATTTGGGGAAAATGAGGATTGGTTCAACTTTTTTTTCTGCGCCTCAACACTAGATCTTGAATCCCATGATTAACTCCATGAGTCTCCAAAACCAGTAAGGTCACTCAAGTCCTGTGTTATTCCCTATCCACTTATAGGTATCAGTTGTTATAACACAAAAGTAAATCTTACTTCTTTTGGTGGGGGTTTTGGAACAAAAAAGAAGGTTTCCAAGTGAATCCTTTAGATTATCCCAGAAAACTAGGCTAGGTCAAATTGAATCCTGGACCTAGAACTTCTTCAGCATGCTTTGAGCAACAGACAGGTTTCTTAACTAAGCAAATTCAACAACAGTGCTTGAGACAGGATGAGAAGTGATTGGAGAAGAATCTCAAGGATACAACACAGAGATTAAATGTACAAGCTCAAGACTGATAGTTTGTGTGGTGGAAATGTGCATGCGATAGAAGAGGTTGTATGCTGCAGTGCTGTGGGTTGACCTCCTCAAAGGTCAGGTCACACAAGAACAGGCAATTTCATTTCAGTATAGAAGAATTGAACTATTACAGCTGATACAGCTGAAAGGACAGCATTTGGGACAGAAGTAAACATGTACATTCATCTGGAGGGGAAGAAAGCAGAGACAGATGGGCAAAGAAAAGAGAAATACTGAAATTCCAACCTTAAAAAAAGCTCGAGCTTCTAATCAATAATTTCTTGCTTCCAGATTGTTGCAGGCTACAAGATGCCAATTACTTGATAAAGTTTGGTACTTTAGCAATTACCAGTCTGGAAGGAGGAATTCCTCCTGTAAATGTTGACTTATAAGCTTGTTCTTGACAACTTTCCAAGAGGGATGAGAATCACATTCACAGGACCAATCCTAATCTCAAACTTTTTCTTCCATAGAGCTCACAATACGGGGGTTCACAATAGAAATTTATGAAATTTTTATAACCAATTTAAAGGTTCTTCACAACAAAATTTTGAAAATTTTGACAAAGTGTCCAGATTTCAGGGTTTCTGAACAATCAGATCAACCTTTTCACTTTTCAAAAATTTGTTGGCAAACACTATAAAATGGGCTTTAAAGATTTTGTAAATTTCTATTGTGAACCACCTGATCAACTTCCAAAGGAGTTGCTCAAGCAGATTGAATTTGATACCTACATTAGCTATGCAATTGCCAACCAAATGCCTGGCAAATTTTACCCTAAATGTCTGACAATTTTTCGATTTACATATATGAAATATGGATTTACTAAACAGTGAGTGGTTACATTAAAATATGATCTCTGGAATATCTGAGTACTGCAACTGCCCAATGTTAGAAATATTGCACAACATTTCCATCAGATAAAAACTGCACTGAGAAATATCAAAAATGGGGGATTTCCACTGAGATAAAATTAAAATCAATGTGGGTAATGCAATGACTCAACTTATGCATAGATCAAAATTTGGAACTCCAAAGGCTCAGTCAGTGTAAATTTGATAGAGGCCCTGGGGGATGGTGGTCCCCAGTTCAAAAGAGAAGTGTGAGAGGGGGCAGTGAAGGAGAGGATCTCACTGGAATAGAACAGATGGCAGGACAAGAAGGAAGAGCCAGTGACTTAATTTCAGATATAGATGGCTAACTCAAATGAGTCAGAATTGATCCATTTGTGGCTCTAAGTATATTGAACATGAATAGAACAAAATGAATGACAAGTAACAGTTCAACTTTTCATATAAGAAGTTGGAAAAGCAAGAGTTTTCAATCATATAAAAGTAGCATGAAATTCCATTGCATTATATGTATGGCCTGGTAGTCTCAGCAGGTCTGAAACAACACTCATGCAAAGTGCAATCCTTGGAAGGAGGGTCTTACATATATTCAAAATTAACATGCCTGCATGTCATGGTTGGTTACTTTTGGTGTCTATATGTAGCCAACATCTGCACCTCTGTTGTATCTGACAACTTTTGAGCCAACGGAGTTGAACTTGCAGAGGTTGATCTTGTGGATGTGCTGATCCAATTTTGAAAAGAAACATTTGCAGATTGGCCCACTATTTTTTAAGATCATGCAAAACTGCTGAAAACTTGAGAATCAAAGTTGAGCACAGGAAACTAGTTGCAGTTCCAAAGTCAATTCTTTCTCCAGGGAATGAAGAACCTCTTCAATTGCCACCATGCGTAATTTTCAATATTTTGGAAACATTCCTTGGTGGAGATACCCATCTTGGGCTGTTCATTTTTTCTCATGTGATAATCACTATTTTCCATAGTTTTTTGGCACAACAATCACCCCCAAGGGCCAAAACCCCGAGCGAGTGACTGTGAATCCTTTTTGGACTGATCAGGACTCTCCCACACTTCATGCGTTCGAGGGAGAGCTGGTGAGGATTTACACGAGACAAAGTGAGACAAACGGATGAAGGATTTGGTACAGTTTGGTACAGTCTCGACTCGTCTGGACTCTGGACCCACAGAGGACCCGCAACCCTGCCCATTCACAGCAACGCGACTGCCGCAGAGAGCAGGTCGGCCACATCCCTTGCGGTCAACCATTTATCAAATTTTGTGTCTCGAAATACGCCCGTCCCGATTTCCTACACATTATACCACCACGAAATGGGCAGCAAACATTCACCTCCGGAGATGGAGGATTATCCTGCCAAAGTGAGTCAACTTCAGTCCTTGGGCTCAAACCTGTTCAGAACGGGGAAGCTTACATTCAGCGAGCTCACTGGAAACCTAGAAACGTACTCGGATTAACGAGGACAGTGCCCGTCAATCTCCAGTCCCGACCGATGACGGTAGCTCTGAATCGTCCTACTGGGATGACCCCGAAGGAGATGCATGCGCCGAACGGGATGCAGTGGAGCAAGTTACCATCCCTCGCCCGCCTGGGCCACCGAGACAGGCAGGCACGATTTCCAAAGTCATCCTGGTCCAATTCATGTGTCATCGATATCAGGTTGTTGAACTTGGTCCGCAGATCAACTTCGTAATAGGCCATAACGGAAGTGGCAAGAGTGCCGTCTTAACCGCCATCACGCTTTTGCTTGGGGCCAAAGCTAGTTCTACTGTAAGGTCCTGTGCCGATGAAATCTAGCCCTGGCTGAAAGCGTTTCCTAATGACTTGCAATCTTTCTAGAACCGCGGTAACTCCTTAAAAACATTCATTCGCGAAGGTCAAAAGAAAGCCGAAGTGACGCTACACCTAACCAATCGTGGTGAAGAAGCTTTTCAACCAGAAATTTATGGGGATGAGATTATAATCCAGCGCAACATCTCAAAGGATGGTAGTTCGGGATTTAAGATCAAAAGCAGCCGCGATCACCGAGTCGTCAGCATTCGGAGAGATGGCTACAACTTTCTCGACATTCATGATCAGCGATATCGCTGATGTTCTCATCAGATGCGCTAAAAATCTAATGCAGTAGCAGCAGCAGAATATGATGTAGCTTTTCTTTCTCTTAAACTCTGCACACGCTTTCCCTTTCTAATCTCTCTCTTTTCGCAACATTCAGTTTTTTATTCGAGGGACTCAGCTTAAACAGCTAACGGATGAGTACGAGGAGATCGATGCCAACCTGAAGATTTCCGAAGTCCTTCTAACCAAGAAGCAGGAAGACTTACCTGAACTGTTGCAGCGTGTCAAATCGGCCGAGAAAAACATGCGAGAAGTACAAATAGCTTCTCAGGCTCAAGAAATGATCATCCAACTCGAAAAGGAAATTTTCTGGATCTATGTTGCGGAAGCTGAAGCTGTACGTGGATGATAATCCATTTTACTCTCTTGAGGCCATTTGCTAACTCGCCCTCTTTATTCTCTAAAGGAACGTGACTTGGCCCTCCAGCAGCTGCAGAATGAGGAGCGTGCCTTACCGAAATACGATACCAAGCTTCAAGAAACGGAAGTAAGCTTTTGTTTGAAAACTGTGCCGAGCGCTTCCAATTCATTGAGGGCTCTTTGCTCATTCTCCAAATTACTTAGAACAAAATATCTGAGCTAGATGATCGGATCAAAACCCTCGAAGCCGCAAAGGCAGCGCGGAACGACGACGAAGTGGACGCTAAGCGCTCAAAACTTCTTGACACTCATCGAACACTAGCCGACAAGCTCAAAAAGATCAATGCGAGTCCCCTCACCGAACTCTCAGAGAAAAGGCATCCACTTACCTACTTCCTCTTACCTTTTGCAGACCCACATTCGACAGGCAGATGTAGATCTTAAAGAGAAGGACGAAGAAATTTCCCAACAATCAAGAGATATCGCAGAGGAAAATGCCAAGTTACTGGGAAACACCGACTCTTCACGAAAACAATCCATCGAGCGAATGGGACAACTTGACACCGAAATCACAGAGATCGAGTGCCGCATCACTCAAATACAACAAGATATCTCCGGCGCAGATGCAGCGGTCAAAACCAACAGTTCCCAGGCGAACCAATGTGACCAGAATGTGAAGAAACTGGGGGCCGATATGGAAAGTAATAAGCGTGCCATCCATGAGTATGGATCCATCCGCAAGGACAGGCTCCTCGTATTTGGCCAAAGGTCGGACCAGCTCAAGAATGCTATTGAAAGAAACACCTCTTGGTCGGAAAAGCCCATTGGCCCATTGGGCTACTACATAAAGGTGAAAGATAAATCTTGGCAACCTGTCCTAGAAACGGTTCTCGCAGGTTCTTTGAAATCTTATATGGTAGTTGATAAGAGGGATGAGCAACTCCTACAACGGTTAATGTCGGATTGTAAATGGTAAGTCATCCGTTTTTGGATAGTTGAAAACAGTTGTTGCGAGCGAGTCTCTGACAAACAATACCTTTGATCGTGGTCCCCAGTGTATCTCCAATCATTCGAACGCGCCGAGACTTGTTTGATTACTCAAGCGGGGAACCCGGGCCGCAATTCGTCACAATCTTACGAGCTCTTCATTTTGAGGACGAATTTGTCAAACGAGCCTTAATCAATGATATGCGGATCGAAAAAACCATCCTAGTCGAACATCGAACAGAAGGAGATCCCATAATGTCGCATCCCCCTCCTAACATTGTATCCTGTTACACACGTGATGGGTTCAAAGTTGGTGGAGTTGATGGAGGACGCGGGGTCAGAGCACTCACCATGTACAACGGTCCACCCCGGTTATCAAACGACGATGGTTCCTTCATTGCGTAAGTCGGTCAGTTTTGAAGTTTTACCAGTCGATTACATACAATTGAAGAGTGAATTGGATTGTAGAGAACTCAATCAAAGAGCCGCTGAACTCGGCTCCCAAATTGAAGAGACTAAGCGCCAGGCTGCTGCTGCAAATTCGCGGTATCGTCAATCGGCCGAACAGCTTAAAAGACTGAGGGTACGTTGCATTGGAAAACCATGTCCAATGATTTACTTGAGTGGCGCGCTCTGCAACATGTGAACTTGACCAGGCATACTGATGTCAAATGAAATAGACCGAGGAGGGACAGCTGAAGGGGCGACTCCGTAAGGCTCGGGATATGAAGGCCTCTATACAAGATGATTTGGATCGGAGTGCATCATCTAACATCACGACTTTGGAAGACTTGAAAAGCGTACGTCAAAAGGCCGAGCATGTCCCTGCTCAGCTCACAACACCTGTTGTCTAATCCATTTTTCACGCGTTATAGGAATCAGAGTCTGCCAGACGGACGTTGTATGATCAAAGCCAGGAGCTTTTACGCCAAAGGGATGCCCTCAACAGCGACTTAGCCCCTATTAAAGTCGAGCTAGAGAAGCTGCAGCATATGATTGAGAATCGAGACCAAGAAGAGGATAAGATTAATGTGCGGTGACCCGCATTACTTCCGACGTAATGAACGTTTATCTAACGATTGCTTTGTATTTTTTAGGTTGAGCTAACTACGAAAATTACCGATAAGGCTGTTGCGAACGATGCATTAAGACATTTCCGTGACTCTCGGACTAAGCAAGCTGCCAAGGTAGCAGAGGCAAAAAAGAAATACGACGCCGCCGAAGCTGCGCTACCAGTTGGTTAACTCTTCCCTGAAAGTCAGCTCGCGTTTTCATGACAATGACGCCAGGTTCACATCTTTCTAGAAAGCCATCGACGAAGCCAAAAAGGTATCCGGATCCGATGAACCCATGCAGACCAACCGTTCGCGTCAGGACGCCATGGCCGATCTGGAAAGCTTCAAGAAAATTGTGAGAGCCACCGAAACCCGGTAAGTGCATCAGACAGCCGGTTGTCCGCTTGAGGTATTGCTAATAGTTTGCTTTCCAGTCATCGTAAATCGCTTGAAGACATTGAAATTGAGTATCACCAAGCAAATGCTAGCTATAAGGTAGCAGAGAAGCAAATCGAAGAGCAGGCCGCATCCCTCAAAGTCGGTTATCAGTTCCAAAATTACTCTCCTTCTCATCCAATGAAGAAAGAAAGCAATCACGTCTAATCACCATCAGTTTACTTTCCACCCGTGTGCCTCAGGTCTTATCAAACGCACTGGCAATACGGAAATACCGCTGGATTGAATTCCGTAACCACATCGCTGCTCGCGCCAAAATGAATTTTGTTAAATATCTGGATCATCGTAGATACACCGGAAAGTTGAGCTTTAATCACAATTCGCAAAGGCTTCAAGTCCAGGTATGTACGATGGCGTTATTCAAACTCGATGCTTTACCTTTCCAGACTGACAATAATCATAACTTCTCCTTTCTCCAACAAGGTCAACCCTCGTGAGGATGGAACTACCCAGGTATATAGTTCAGGCTTGCTCTCTTTGGTCATCAATGGAAATCCACTTGATGTTCATTTTTACTGATTCATAATCAAACAGAGCCAATTGAAAGATCCGAAAACATTGTCGGGAGGCGAGAAGTCATATTCAACGATTG